GGCCATCCCTTGCAGTGAGGACCACACAGGACTTATGGGACACCCAGGCTTCCCTTCCTGATCCTGCAGCAGACTTGGATTCTTCGGGACAGTGCTTACTGAAAAACCTAAACAAATAAGAGTGTCCAGAACAGTGGTTCTCAAACCTGTGGGTCGTGACCCCTTTGGGGGATCAAATGACTCTTTCACAGGGGTGGCTGATTCATAACAGTAACAAAATTACAGTTATGCAGTAGTAACAAAAATAATTTTATGTTTGGGGAATCATCACAACATGAACTATATTAAAGGGTCACAACATTAGGAAGGTTGAGAACCATTGGTCTAGAATGTTCACCTTTGTTCACATGAAAAGAAATGTGCCAAACCTGCATGATTCCTAGACCAGCCTGCTCTGGCGTGACACCCCTGGGTTTGCCCTTGGATGTCTGCTTACTGCCCTAGGGGACTCACACAGTAATAGGTGTGTGCCTTGGGGAGACCCTAAAGCTGAGTGGGAGGGGGACAACAAGGAAACAAGGGCATCAAGGGCACTGCACTTGAGGATTTGGGGGGACCCTGGAGGAGCAGGTGAGGCCGCGAGTAAACTAGTGGTGGCCTTGGTGTGAATCCCAACCCCACAGAGACCCGGGACTCCTGCCTGCGTCCCTCGGCGTCACAGCGGGACTGAGCGCCCCCTGGCTGTTCTTGGTTGAATCTTCATAGACAGCTGGATAAACCTTTTATTCGTTTATTTTTGCTGCTTACGGTGCCTGAGAGTTGCCAGACTCAGCAACCAAGAACAAACTGCCTGTGCCTCCAGGCCCCTCGTGTGGTCCCAGGACAGGACAAAGCAGAGCGGGGGCTGACTCGCTGCTGCTAAATATGCTGAGTGAGGGGAAAGGGCAGTAGCCTGACAAGCTGAGAAGAACAGCCTTTCAAATCACGGGTGGGTGGCAGTGGAGGTCCCGTGGGGTTGGAGCCAGTGGGGAAAGAACTGCTTTGGTCTAGGATCTCACTGGAGAAGAGACCTAAGAGCAGGTGGGCTGGCACCCCCAGCACAACGAAACTGTTCTGCACTGTCCGGGCTGGAGCCCTCCAGTGTTGCCAGTTCACCAAGTGTGGAAATTCGCCTGCAGGGGCCATGGGACGAGACTGCCCAGGCAAAAGAGCCAAAGGATTCTTTTTCTTAATTAGATTTTATTCTTTAGACTAGTTTGATTACAGGAAATTTGAGCAGATAGAACAGATCAAACACATCCATTGCCATCTAGTTAACCCCACGCACAGGCAACTTCCTGTGTCAGAGTTCTTAGAACCGGACTGGCGGGGGAGGGGGAGGGGGGTTTCATTGGCTATAATCTTATGGAACTAGGGTACCAGGGCTTTCTTCCATGGTGCTACTGGATGGATTTGATTAGTCACTGAATGTACACTGTTTGTATTCTCCCAGGGGCCATAAATACTTCAGATCTCCTCAGGTCCCCATTGCCCAGTTTCCTCTGTTATTGCATCTTGCCTTGATATGGTTCGTTTTTTACAGTTGATGAACAAATGGTGGATGATACATTATTAACACATGGACGTGTTATTGATCTATGGACTCCCACTTTGTTACGCAGAAAGTCCTATGGATGTAAACAGATGCATAATGCCATGTGCTGCTGTGACGGTGCCATACAGAATAGTTCCACTCTGAAAGGTGCCCGCCCGTGCCTCCTCTTTGTCCACCCCACCCAATCCCTAGCAGTCACGGACCTTTTCATCATCTCCTTCGTTTCTGGAAGTAGCCTTCACTTTGCAAAATGTATGGGCGCTCCATCCAAGAAATATGTTTCGGGGGTCAGTAGTAACTTTTAATTGTTGCGTAGCATTCCAGTGTATGTATTACCACATCACTGGGTTGAAGGGCATTTGCATTGTTCCAATTTGGGGCAGTTAGGAGCAAACTTCAAATATGCTTTGTGTAGGTTTTGGCTAAATACCAAGAGTTGGATTGTGGAGTCACATGGTGTCGAGATAAGAAATATGTTTTCTGTGTGGCTTGCAACACTCACCTCCTTTCCAGCAGTGTGTGACAATTCTGGCCTCTCCCCACCTCTGCCCGTGCATGATATTGTTCACTCTTCTGTTTTAGCCACTCTAGTAGGTGTGGGGTGGGCATTTCGCTTGCTAACCACAAGGTCATTGGTTCAACCCCACCAGTTGGTCTTCAGGAGAAAGGTAACAGTTTATGCCCCTGTAAGAAGGCCCTGCAGAGGGTCGCTGTACGTTGGAACCCGCTCATGGGCAGTAAGTTGGGTTTTTACTTTTTTTGGCTGGGGGGGTGGTGTTACTTTTTTAATGGCAATGACATTGAGTATCTTTTTATATGCTATTCTGTCATTTGTGTATCTTCTAAGATGCATTGTCTGTTCAAATCTTAAGCCATTTGAAAATGTGAGGTCTTTCTTACTGATAAGTTTTGATAGGGTTTCGCTTTGGACTGCTAACCAAGTGAGCAGTTTGAAACCACCAGCCGCTCCGAGAGAGCACGATGAAGCTTGCTACTCTTGTAAAAAGTTACAGTTATGTACTCAAGGATAAGCCGACTCTAATATCAGGCGAGGTGCCTAATGTTACCACAAAAACTGCATTAAAAATGTGCTGAAAAAACTTGGCTTATCCAAGAGTATATACGGTATATTCTCGGTGTCACAATGGAACAGAATTCAGTGGCAGTGAGTTTGGGGCTTTGGGGGAAGCTTTGGAAATTTTTTCCTCCCGAAATAGGAGGCAGCTTCAGCTAGTATTTTAAGAAAATTCCATTATATTTCAATGCCAATTTCGGATAAACTTTTTGAAGCTCCCTTGCAATCCTAGGCAGGAGTCCTTTTTTCAAATGTGTGCTTTGCCACGCTTTTGAAATCTTAAATCATCGCAAAGCAAATGTTTTTCATTATGATGATGTCCAATTTATCCTTTTTTTTTTTTTTTTTAATGGGTTGGGCTTTTGGTGTCATATGTAAGAAATCTTTCACCTAATCAAACTTCACTAAGATTTCCTCCCAGGAGTTTTATAGTTTTACCAACTAGAACAGGGGTTGACAAACCTTTTCTGTAAGAAATGGGCTCATGGTAAATATTTTAGGCTGAAAGTCCCACAGGGCCTCTGTTGCTAATTCTCAGCTTGCTCATTTTTTTGGAGGAGCTGCCAGGTCATATGTAAACTAATAAGAGTGTCTGTGTGCCAGTAAAACTTTATTTATAAAACCAAGCAGTGGGCCAAATTTAGGCCACAGGCTGTGGCTTGGTACCCTGTATTAGACAGTTCACTTTTGTCAGGCATGTGGAGAACACCCCACTCTGGAGAGTAAGAGTTGGATCCTTGTTATGCAGTTGATTGTCACTGAAAGCTGGACCTAAGAGTCGATGCCTGGCTCTTAGGAGAAGGGTAAAGACCAGAAGGGGGTGAGAGACAGAGAGGAAGAAGAGACATGGTGGGCACACTTCTAGGGTAAACGTGTGTGTGTGTGTGTGTGTTGTGTGTGTGTGTGTGTATTTTGTTCATGGCTTGTGGCTGCAGACGGTTTAATATTTGTGGCCCTTTTTGGTCAACCTCTAGTGGCCCCATTCTTTCTCCTGAAAACTGGTATTTTTTTAGCCCCTCCTTACCCCAAATAGTGTGTACAAGGGGCCTTCAAAAAGTTTATGGGAAAAGGAATGAAAAGAGACAGGAAGGAGTTCTTCCACAAGTTTTGAAGTCTTTCTTTTTAGATATTGGGCCTCAGCCTCACTCAGCAGCCCCAGAGCCGAGCATCCCTCACACGTGTGAAGCAGCCTCTTGCTGTGCCAAGCCCCAAGGAGGCACTCAGAGCCTGAGCCCGTCAATCCCGACCTGCAGCAACCCTATGGGACAGTAGAACTGCCCTAGAGAGTTGCCGCGGCTGCAAGCTTTTCTGGGACCAGATGGGCAGGTCCAGACCCTTCCTTATCTTTTCTTTTACATATTTGATGCTAGCCTGTTTTAGCAAGATCTGGGAGCCTCGGCCCATTTGAAATAGTTGGTAGAAATTGTGGCCTGGCTGTTGCAGGAACTGTGCGTGCCGTCTGTGGAGGGGTAGGGAGACCTGAAGCATTTCCCCAAGAGTAAACTGCACCTCCCCTGAGCCACGTGGGCAAGCTCTGAGAGACGGGCTCGATCTCTGCGGGTCAAGCGCCAGGTTGCATTTAAAGAAGGCAGTGTGCTCCTGACCTGGGGCCTGGACCCCCACTGAGCCTGCAGATGGGGAGACCCACAGGGGAACGTGGCCTGTGTGTTTTGAGACCAGTGGATTGGGGGGAAGACTCAAGTGATTCCTAACCAATACACCTCATGCTCAGCCTCTACCCATCTGCCCATGGAAGCTGACGTCCTGCAGCTTCAGTGGAGTTTCTAGACTGAGGCTAGGAAGAAAGGCCTGGCAATCAACTTCCAAAAATCTTTTGGTGAACAGGAATCAAGGCGGCATTTCATTTCATTGTGTCTGGAGTTGCCATGAGCCTGGGGCAGGGACTGGAGGGGCAACTCTAACAGCCATATGAGGGAGGGGCAGGTGGGCTGACAGAACACCTGGCTTGGGGAGGTGTCTTTGGAGAGTGGGGTTGGGGTGGACCTCTGCTGACTGCCATGGAGTCCTGCGCCAACAGCAGTCAGGCCTGGGCTGCCCCAACGGGTCACCAATCCTAACTGCTTTCTCACCTCTGTCACCACAGCTGCAGGCCACAGAGCAGTATCTAGAGTTAGGCAGTGAGGGTGTCCATGGCAGGCCCCTCAGTGCCCAGCAGGAATCAGTAGAGAGTCATAAGAAATACCCGGAGCGCTCTAGAGAGCTGGCCCAGCCCTTTGGTGCTGAAGTAGGGGCAAGTCTCTGTGCAGCCCTCTTAGTGGATATGGGTGACCCGTCCATCACTATGGAAGGTTCTCTTCTCCAGGCGCATGCCACCCTGAATGCTGTCTTCTGACACTGACTGACTGGATCTCTCCTTTTCTTTGTAGATTAAAAGAAAGGAAGAAAAATACCATGTCTAATGGTTATGAAGACCACATGGCCGAAGACTGCAGGGAGGACATCGGGAGAACAAATCTGATCGTCAACTATCTCCCTCAGAACATGACGCAGGATGAGCTGCGGAGCCTCTTCAGCAGCATCGGGGAGGTGGAGTCTGCCAAGCTGATCCGGGACAAAGTAGCAGGTAAAGAAGCCAGGCACCCTGGGGCAGGGGGCTCCCTGGCACCCGCCATGCCAGGCTGATGTGCAGTTTGATCTCCCATGCTGTTGGTCCACTGTCCTGGCCCCCAAGAATTCCTGGGTGGTGGTCATGGTTAATGTGCTCGGCTGTTCAGGGAGGTTTGTAGTTTGGCTCCACCCAGAGGTGCCTTGGAAGAAAGGCCTGGTGCTTTGCTTCTGAAAAATCAGTCCCTGACAACCCCCATGGAGCGCAGTTTGGCTTGTGGATCAGAATCAGCTGGAGAACGACTGGGCTAGACTGGTCCCAGGTTCTCAAAAGAGACAGAATCCATTCGTAAGGCAAGAGCTTGTACCACATTAGGCATTGGGAGGAGAAAACTGAGGAAATTTGTTCATGGGGCTGCTAAGGGTGCGGTGGGCAGTTCAGACTCATCCCGCCGGAGTGGATGAGGCCGGCTGCTCCTGGGACGATTGAGGGTCTCGGAAACCCTAGGAAGTGGTTCTGCTCTGTCTGCCCTTCAGGGTTCTGCTGAGTTGTAATCAGCTTGTTGGAAGCGGGTGGTTCTTGTTTCTGTTCAGGGGGCTTTAAAATTCTGGGCTGTCTCCAAGTCCCTGCCCTCTTGGGGGGGGGCGGGGGCGGGTGGTCCTGAGCCCCAAGGCTACTTCTGAGCCTTGGAACCGCCTGCCCCCGTGATGTGGTCTGGGAAGAACAGAAGCTGTGAAGGTGGGAAGACCCAACTTTGGTGAAAGCTGTAAGCGCCCTTCGGAAGTCACCTCAGATCAGAGAAAACCTAGCAGCCTGCACACAGCTGCTGGTTCTGCTCTGCCTCCTGGGCGTGCATGCCCCCCCACCCCCACCCCACTATGATAACGGGACACCTGCTCTCTGGGACTCGTCAGGCTGCCGTCTTTACAGAAGCTGAGCGCCACTTCTCCCCGCTCCTCAACCCAGCAGCTGGGGAGGTGAAGGGGTGGGGGCCTTTGGAAAGCCCTGTCACATCTGTCACCTTGCCATCAGGGTGGGACCATCACTGCCTGTCCCTGGAGTGGGCCCCAAAGTCTTCTGCCCCTTGCCCTTCTGTACGTGACTCAGGCAGAACCCCAGCTCTGGGGCCATTCAATAAAGCCCCCAGATGGAGCTCAAGCTGCCTGCTCCACCAAGAGCAGACCTGGCATCCCAGCCAACAGACACCTGCCAATCAAACCCCACACCTGGCCCCTTGCTCCTCGCTTCTCCATGACTTCTTCCTCCTCCAGGCCCTTTGCTCTCAGCCGATGCCCCCTGTACCTCTTGCTCCCTTGGAGCCAAAGGCTGGTAAGTAGCCCGTTGTACTGAGTCTCTTGAATGACCCTTTGACCTCCTGACACCCTTTCCACCACCCGTGCAGGACCCTCACCTCCTGCTTGCCCTTCAGATAAAAATCACATTCTACGTGTCAAACTTATGGCTCGTTGTCTCCATTTTTTAGCGTGCAGCTCAGTGTCATTAATTACAGACCTCGTGTTACTGATCTTCCGCCATGATCATCTCCCCAAACAGGAACTCTCCCCTTTAAGCAGTGCCTCCCATCCCTCTCCTCATTGCTCACGGTGGCCTGCCCTCGTTTCACTCAGCACATTACCCCGGCCTGCAGGGACCAGCACCTCCCTCCTGTGTTCTGCTGAGTAGCGCTCCATCAGGCCACGAGCCGGCCACACTGTTCGTAGACGTCTGTTGACAGATACCTGCATCATGTCCACCTAGAACTCAGTCCCAAGGGTTGGTGTGCAGTGTCCATGTGTCCTCAGGGTCATGTGGATGCTGTCACTCTTGAAAACTCACTGCCTTTGAGTTGACATGTCTGGGTCCCCACCCTAGCAGGGACCCCACCAGCCTCTCTGACATGCATCCTGGTGCTGGTGGTCTTTCTGGATGCCTCTTTGACTCGTGTCTTTTCTTTGGTCACCCCTGCCTTAGACCAGAACACCAGGCTCCCTGGCCTGCACTCCTGCGCTGGCCTCCTGGTTCACCCCTGTGCTCTCCCTACCACCCAGGGGTCTGTTGACAGCCTAGGCCTGGTCCAGAACTGCTGGGTGCCCATGGGCCTGCACCTGGGTCTTTCTAGCATGATATGTCAATGGAATTCCTGAAGGCAAAAAACCCAGCTCCAAATCAAGGGCCTGGAGTCGATCTCAGCTCCTGGTGACCCGCATGGGTGTGCAGAGTAGAGCTTTGCTCCAAAGGGTGGTCACTGGCCGAGTTTTCAGTGGTAGATGATTGCCAGGCCTTTCTTCTGAGGCCCCACCTCTGGGTGGACTCATGCCTCCTACCTTTTTTTTTTTTTTTTTCCACAATTTCAACCATATTTTATTTTTAACTTCATTTTTTTCTTTTAAATTATTTTATTGAGGGCTCATACATTTCTTATCACAGTCCATACATATATCCATCGAGTCAAGCACCTATGTACACCTGTTGCCCTCGTCAATCTCAAAACATTTGCTCTCTACTTTGGCCCTCAATGTCGTTTGCTCATTTCCCCCCTCCCCCCTCCTTCCTGAACCCTTCATAATTCATAAATTATTATAGATTTGTCATAAGTTACCCTGTCCGACGTCTCCCTCCGCCCTCTTCTCTGCTGTCCATTCCCCAGGGAGGAGGCTATACTTAGATTCTTGTAATTGGTTCCCCCCTTCTACCCCGCATTCCCTTCACCCTCCAGGCCTCGCCCCTCTCACGGCTGGTCCTGCAGAAGTCATCTATCCTGGGTTCCCTGTGTTTCAGGTTGTTATCTGTACCAATGTACATCCTCTGGTCTAGCCAGATTTGCAAGGCAGAATTGGGATCATGATATTGGAGGGGAGGAGACGAGCTAATCAGGGTGCAGGGTAGCAACGATGAAACATATAACTTTCCTCTAGTTCTTTAATGCCTCCTACCTTTTGAAACGTTTGTAAATGGTCACCTGGTTGGTGCTGCCCAAGGTACCTCCAGTCACATGACATACAGTCACAGTTTTCCCAGTGTCCTCACTGTAGACAGGACCCTGGGACCATCTGCTTGCCAGCTTCCTACATGGAGCCACTTCCTGGCCATGATCCTGCTGATCCCACCCTGCCACCCCCTGCAGACCGACAACCTATTCTCAGCTGACTCCTCCCCTGGGCCCTTCCTGGGAGTGGGTGGAGTGGAGTGGGTGAGCCCTTCCAAGGCCCCTTGTGCCAGCCCCCATGAGGGTGGCTTCTCTTCCGCCATGTGAGCCCAGACAGTGGAAGTGTGTCTGGTGGACCTGGCGTGTCTCTTGATGGTAAAGTGCTTCTCAGATGCTGTATTTTTGACTCATTGGAAGCTGTTGAGCATGCCCGTCAGTGCCAATTTTCCCAGTGTCATCCTCACAATACTGCAAACTTTCCCATGCAACTTCATATGTACTAGAAAACCCGAAACCTTAGGTGCGCCCTGTCCTGGAACATTAGCTGTATTGTCAAGCTCTGGAGCGGGTCCCCAGTATTTCAGGGCCTGCCTGTCCTAACCTCCAGGGCGGTGGTGTGGGTTCACCCAGCAGTACCTGAAGGAAGGCCTAGAAAGCCCTTGAGAGCTGTTCCCATGGTGTAACACATGGCCCTGAGTCGAGATTGGTTGGATAGAAGCGGGTTCGCCTGCTTGTGCTTCTTCTGTGGTAAAGTTCCCTCCTGGTCCTCTGTCCATTTTCTTTTCTTGGGGGTGTTAGTGGTTTCTTAAAGCCTAACTGATGAGCTCATCTCCCCCTCACCTGCTGGCTGTTCGTCAGTGACATCCCTTGTGCACTCATGGTCCCTTACAGGAAGGAGTGGGCTGTGCCTACCTCCCAAAAGATAGAAGGGGCTTCCTTGCTAGTTCCCCTTCTTCCATGGTGCCCCTGAGGGAGTCTCCCGGCTCCCTGACTTCTCAGCTGCCAGTCAGGAACAGGCTGAGAGAGAGGAAGGGGTTGGAAAGGCATGAGCATTGGACTGGGGTGCTGAGGGGGCACCTGCGGGCATGAGCCGAGCATCCACAGTGGCAGGGTCCCTTCTGAGGACAGGTTGATGCGCGGGCATGGCAGGAATTAAAGAAGGGGGCTGGAGTGATTCAGTGTCCTTGGATACTAACCTGCCAGCAGAACCTCTGCAGGACCCAAGGACCCACCTGAAGCCCCTCAATTCTCGGAGCCCTTAGGAGCTGCCCTGGTACCTCAGGCTGCCCAAGGGTCTTTGAGGCCCTCGGCATTTATTAGGAACTTGGCTCTAGGAGGTGAGCTTTTGTCTTCCTTTCTGTCAGAAGAAGAGGTTTGTGCAGATTCTGTTGCATTCTGTAGCTGCTCTGCCCAAAGCCTCACTCCCCATTGGACGTTTGACAGATGGGCTTCAAAGGTAGCTTCCTGGCTCAGAGCACCAGCTCCACAGTGGGGACACCTGACAAGCACACCTCAGCTAGAGGTTGAGGTCACTGTCACCAGATGTTTTAGGAAGGGTGCTCTACCAGTGTAACAAAAAATGCAGTAGGGGGTGATCTATGGGCTCCCTGAATGACACGCCCAAGGCTGTCCCGGTCACCCAGACCATGGAGAAGTGAAGTCTTGGGTCACCTCAGTGATGGACCCAGAAAGCACTCTGCTGAGTGTAGTAGGCAGTCACCAAAGGACACGTGTTAGTTATATGGCCTCGTGGCAGAGGAGAAGACAGGCAGATGTGCCGGAGACCCCGGTTTCCTAGAGGTTACCAGTGGAGAGGGGGTAGGGAAGCTTACTGCTTCTGGAGCACAGAGCTTGAGTTTTGGTTCATGGCAATGGGGCATCGCACTGGCTAAGGGTCCAGTTACATAGTAAATGCCGTCTGTCTTGTACACCCAGAAGGAGCTGAGTTGACAAAAGTTGGGGTGATCGATATATTTGCAACAATGACCCAAAAAGGGGACCAAGGCTGCTTACGTACAACCAGACACCTCTGGAATTTGGAGCCTGCTCAGGCCATCATCCCCAGCTAGTGGTCTTTATCCACCTGAGACCCAAGGAGCGGGCTCGATCCACCTGGAGCAGCCCAGGAAGAGGCGTCAGGCGAGCGGGTGGAGGAAGTAGCTGGTGTGGCTAATTGTTTTCTGGGACAACTGCCTCCTTTGCCTTCAGGCCAGAAGAACTCTGCATGGTTCCTGGCTCCCATTACTCAACATTTTGTTCCAAGATTCTATAAAAGACTCCTTATCAAGGAAGCATGGTGCAGAATAGAATTTCAATAGCCTTTCAGGAGTTGGGAGGCCGGACAGACCTCTGAAACCCTGGCTCTGAGATCTGTGAGCTTTAAATCAAACCTTCCTCAAACCAGACCATAGTGGAGCTTAGCCAGTAAAGATGTCTGCCATGAGCACATGGCTCTTTTAAGGCTGATCTTAAAAGTGTATCATAAAAGACAGCGTGCAGTGGGGGGGCCAGGATGTCAAGGACACAGTTATCATAGTGAGGCTTCCAACGTGATGTGTGCACGGTCCAGCCTGTGGGGAAATCCAGTACCAGTTTCCTGAAAATACTTGCTGAAAACTTGCCCGACCAAGGTAGAAGTTGACCTCAAATGAGCTCGAGACACTGTCCTACAAATCCTCCCATCCTTACCGTGTGAGACTCAGTAACATGGTGGACTGGTGAGCCTTGTCGCTGACTGCACTAGACGCTGGCTGCTGTCTGCAGTTCCGGGTCTTCAAGTTCGTCCTTTTGTGCTGACATTTGCCAGGCGCTTCCACTCTCATCTCTGAACCCGGCCGCAGATGTCATCAGATTAGTGCCAACGCCTGTGGCTCCAGCATAAATCAGTTGTAAATCAATGGTGACCTTCACTAAGAGGTAGTGGCTCAGGGTTTTTTCTGGACCCGTGTGCCCTTCGTCCCCAGTGTCAACAGGCCTTATCCTGTCATCCTGGCTGGATCCAGCATTCATTCCTGGAATTGACCCACAAACCTCCTACCAACATCCACTTTCAAAGAGAAAACCCGTTTTTCTAGATTGCTAGTGATTTTGGAGTTACATGCCAAGAAAAAATGAAGTCTCCTTTCCCTAACAGCCTGTGAATTGATGGTAAATTTGGGGCTGATTAAAGCAGCGCTTGGATTAAAAAGGATACAGAACCTGGCTTCCAGAATATTCCATGAAGTCAAAAGTTGTCAGTAACGAGGTCAACACAGGCCTCTGGAAATGTCTGTCTGATTTCACCTTCTCGGAAGCTCCTCTCAGGGTTTCCATGGCTCACCCAGAACTCAGCCATCCTGGTCTGCCCGTTGGCACTTGTTTACATTCATTCCTGTGCACTGCTTCTGCTGGAATCAGCAGCCTGCTCTCCAGCCCTGCCTGTCATGAAAATTTCACATATGTTCTCAGGCTTGAAACATTCCCAGCATGAATTGTCTCAGATTTGGGCCTTCCAAGAATACAAGGGTTAAAAAAAACTAGTAACCCATCAGTGGGAGTGGCCCAGAAGGCAGTGAGTGTGTCACGTGATGGGAGAACCAAATCAGACTGACAGTGTGAAGAAGCCACCTGCTGCCGCTGCTGAGCCTGGAGGGCCGAGCAGAAGTGCCCCACAGGACTTGCAACCTGAAGCAGACTGCCTTCTTGTCCTCCCGGGGAGTGGCCAGGGGTGCAAGCCATACACTGACTTGTCAGCAGCCCAGTGTGTAACCCGTTGTGGTGAATATTCTGCACAAAGAAAGACCTAGGGGAGGGAGGGGAAAATGAGGACCTAATGTCGGGGGTTTAAGTGGAGAGAAATTGTTTTGAGAATGATGTACAAATGCGCTTTACACAATTGATGTGTGTATGGATTGCGATAAGTTGTATGAGCCCCTAAAATGTTAAAAAGTAAAAAATTTTAAAAAAAAGAAAGAAAGACCTAGGAGACAAGAGACAAGGATCGAGGTATAAACAAAAGCATATGCATATGTAAATATATTAATATGTAACGATAGGGATATAGGTCTATGTACATGTATTTATAGGTTAAATATTAAGGTAGCAGACAGACATAACCTGGCATTGTGTGATACTCACCTTTCCCACACGACCACTGAAGACAAAATGGGTGCATAAGCTAATGTGTTGAAGAAAGCCTGCGCTTCCAGCTCTCTAATTCAGAGAGGCCGAGGTCAAGGTCCCAGTTGGTTTGCCGGTGAAGCCTGGGAGGCGACGAGAGGGCCGGGACAGCGACAGCCATCATCCCTAGAGCTCCAGTGGAAGTCGATCTGGCAGAGCAAAGAGCTAAAGGTTTCCACTTCGGTTCGGGTTCGGAAAATGTGTTGTTTTTCAGGTTTCAGGGTCCCTGGATGGGATTGTTTTTCAGTTCTGTCCCAGTCAGAAGTCCTTTGTCCCGGGTCCCCTTGGTCTCCGTGGCTGCCTTTGCTGGAAGTGTTGCATAGATGCTCTATAAGGTGCCTTGGGGCTCTGACCCTGTGTCCCTCCCAGGCAACCAGCTGGTGGCCTCTCCTGCCCATGCCTCAGGAGGCTTTCATGAACAAGTATAGACGTCCCACCTGGAACCCCAGTTTTCTCTGTGAAGTACTCCAGCTCTCCCTGTACTCACCCCAATTTGGAGTGGAGACCAGCTGGGAGAAGCCTGACAATGTGCCAGGCGTGAAGCTGGGCGTGGCTGGGCCAGAGGGTTGCCTTGATGGGCAGGGCCTCCCTCCGGTGTCTTCTCATGTGTGTTGGTTCAAACGTCTGTGTCAGTTAGGTGGGGGCTTACTTATGGGGATTGTTGCATTCAGTAACTTAAACAGCTTCTCAAACCTCCCAATGGCTTGGCCTGTCTTTACCCCCCACCCCAGACACTCTGTTTTGTAGGCTTTGATCTTCCCGTTCACCCAGTTAACACCATTAGCACCTGACTACCCTCTAGCCTATTGCTTCCCCTTCCCCTCCCACCCCTCCCTCTCCTGGGAACCATTAACATTTCTTTTTCTTGGTATGAAACCTCTTGATTGTTTTATTTTTAATAACAGTAGTCTTATACCATGGTCCTTTTGTGATTGACTAAGTCACTCAGCATAATGTCCTCAAACCCATCCATGTTTCATCACCAGTGTTACTTTCTCTCCTTTCACTGATGGGCATTTCGCTTGTTTCCCTTGTCTTGCTATTGTGACATGGGCGCGTATGCATCTGTCTGCACTCGGTTTCTGGGCCGTAAAGTACGGTCCTAGTCTCTAGGACCGCTGGGCATTGGAATGGACTCGACAGCAGTGAGGGGGTGGTTTGAGTATTTATACCAAAGTAGGCTCCTTCTGTTGCGAGAAGGTGAAAGGACCCGGCACTGGGTGGCACCAGAGCCCAGGAAACCTGTCAGCCTGGGTTGGCCCACTGGAAGCAGGCAAAATGGGCTTGGATTTCAATAACTTTATTTTCACAGGTAGCGTTTGGTTATTGCAAACGATATTTAAGTTAACCAAAGAAGTGGAAGGGTATTGTTGTCAGCTGCTGGGGTTGCATCACCCCTTACCTCACAGTGGCCACACACACAGTGGGCTCCTGCCCCATCCCAGGCTCGGTGGTAGAAGATCATTTGGGGTCCATAGAGTTTTCATGGGCTGATTTGCAAAAATCACCAGCTCTTTCTTCCCCTTCCGTTTTAGTCTGGAAACCCAACTGAAACCTGTGTCCTGGTAGCTCTCGGGCCCCACAGGCAGACAGGTTTAGTGGCTGCCCATGAGGCACCTTGGCTAGGACTCAAATCTGGATCTCCCTCATGGAAAGAAGTCTGCATTCCTAGCCCCAACCGCCAGGAATCCACTCCCTAGAGATGACTGTGGCTGCTTCTCTTCAAGTTTTTTCCTTGGGGCTAGTTTCTATTCCTTTTTATTCTTTTTTATCTTTGGTTAAATATGTTTGTGTATTTACACATACATACATACATGTGTATCCATGAAGCAAAATGGCTACCAGTGTCGGTTTCGGGAGGCCCTGTTGTGTGGTGCCCTCCCCAGTGACTGCGCACCCGTGAACAGGGCCTCATTGAGTGTGGTGGGGATGGCACGGCTCTTTAATCCATTCATTGTACCATACACACGTTATTTGTCAATAAAACACTTCCTGGTTTAAAAAACAAAAACAGATGCTTAGTCTGGCCTCTGCCTTTTAAGGAAAGTTGGTTTGGGTTCGTTTCAAGCCCCTAAGCCAGACAGCCAAGCCCTGCCCTTGAGTCTGCCCTGGCTCACAGCAACCCTACCGGGTAGTGCAAAACTGCCTGGGGTTCCCAGGCTGTCAGGCTTTACTGGAGCTGGGGGCCTCAGCGTTCTCCTGGGAGGCGGCTGGTGGGTGCGCCCCAGGGCTCCTCCTGAGTCCCTGTTTGGACTGCCTTGTGTGTGTGCTTGACCACTAGCCAACAAGTGCAGGTCCAGGTCTACCCCAAAGGGCCGCAGAAGAGAGACCTGACACTACTTCCTTATAACCAGCTCTGAAAACTCTGGGAGCCCAGCTCTACTCCGCACACCTGGGTGCCCGGAAGTCCAAGCTGACCACCTCAGGGTCTGTCCACACGCGGGTTCTCCCACTGGCTAGCAAGCAGTTGCCCACCTGACTCGTATGTATCTGCACCTTTTCCCACAGGACACAGCCTGGGCTATGGCTTTGTGAACTACGTGACTGCAAAAGACGCAGAGAGAGCAATAAACACGCTGAACGGCCTGAGGCTCCAGTCCAAAACAATTAAGGTAACATTCTTATCTCCCAATCCTGTCCTTCATCCCATCTCACTGCTTCCTGTTGGGGGCAGGAGGGTGGGCTGAGTGACCCTCCCACCTCAAGTGTTGGGGTGCCCACAAGGTGAAACCTCAGAGCCTGGGCCCTGAGGTAGGAGCATTTTGTGTCGTGTGCATGTTTGGTAGTGACCATTCTGGGGCTAGTGGCTCATGCCATTCTTCGTCCCCACCAAGCCATGGGCAGGAAAGGGTCCCTGAAGGTTGCTGGCCCTGTGACAGTCCCCCTCCCACCTCGAGAGCTGCCATGCGTGCGGTGTTCTGCTCTCCTCCCTCCTGCCCCTCATGCTTTGCTGTTGCTGTTGCTATGGTGACACCCCACCTGACCACTTGCCCCGCTTCCCTTCTGCTTCCTCGTAGCCATGAGTTCTTCTCTCATCTGTTCACCGGTTTCCTGAGCACCTACTTGGTGCCAGACAGTGAACAGAGCAAGCCCAGAACCCTCACAGAGCCAGGGGTGGGATGGGGCAGGTGCATGCAGCAAAGTGAGATGCAGAAGCCACTCAAGTGGAGCTACAGACTGTATGGGGCTGATGAGCGAAGCCTGAGGAAAAGTAGCAGCGGGTCTCCTAGGGACGAGTCTGCTGTCCTGATCGCCCTTCCTGGGTGGGTCCTGTAGCCTGCCACCTCACCCTCTTCTGTCCCTCAGGCTGCTCTACCCTTCACTCCATCTCCTGTCAGCCCAGGTCCCAGTGCCCGGCAGCCCCTGCTCCTCAGACTCCACCCTTGCAAGGGCTGTGCCTGGCTAGCCACCTTGGGCTGCTCAGATGCCTGCCTGTCAGAACTTTTGCCCTCGGCCTGCAGCTGGCTCCTTGGTCGGAGTGGAGGGGTGTCCTAGGGCTGCCCCCAGCGCCACCACCACACGTGCTGGGCAGCTTCCAACCCAGGCCCGAGTGTTGCAAGCCCTTCCTCATCTTCACTTCCCGGGTGGCTGGCCAGCCTTGGAGGTCATTCCAGCCCTCTCTGGTCACTGCCACCGTTCATGTGTGAGTGGCTTTGTGTCCCTTGTTCTCTTAAAGGGACTTGAATCTTGAGGTGTTGAGCTCACACTAAGTCCAGTGCCTCCTCACCTTGAGACTGTAACTTAACCCAAAAGTAAACCAGCTGCCATCAAGCTGACTCTGACCCCCAGCGACCCTGTGGGCATCAGAGCCACACGCTGTGATGTGGGGTGTTAAGTGTCTAGTTTTTGAAAGTAGATCACCAGGCCTTTCTTCTGAGGGCACTTACAGGTGGACACACCTCTAGCCTGGTAGTGAGCAGCTGAGCTTGTGAGCAGACTGAGATATGCAGAGACCCCAGGCCCAAACAAGGTCACATCCACAGGTACCAGGGATTGAGGCTTAGGTTTATAATCTGGTGGGGAGTTAGCTCAATCCACCCACCAACAAACACCCCCAAATTCTTCATCTGGGTCCCTCTTAGGTTGTCAGAAACACCTGGGGTGCACTTCTAAAAGGGCCTCCAGAGGGGTGGGCCTGGACGCCTGTGTCCCCTTCCAAAAATCACTGCTAGTAAGTTGATTCTGAGTCCTAGCAACCCTATAGGACAGAGTAGAACTGCTCCTGAATGTCTGAGACTCGCTTTTTATGGGTGCAGAAAGCCTTGTCTTTCTCCCGAGGAGCAGCTGGCCTGTGAATTAGAACTGCTGACATTGTGGTTAGGAGCCCAGTGTGTAACCCACTATGCCACCAGGACTCCTATCTGATGAGAGGAGGCAGGGGAATCTACAAGCCCTGGAGCTCGGGGATTGCCTGCACCTGCTGGAAACATCACCCACAGGAAGGCCTTCTGCCTGGAGCCATGCCCTGCTCTCAGACTCCGAGACCCCTGGGCTTTCTCTTCGTGTGCTGAGCACTGGGCTGGACTGTATGGAGGAGAGCAGGACCTCGGGAATGGAGGCAGGTGCACTTAACCTGTGGGGCACAGGTGGCACAACCTTGCTGGAAGTAAAGTGGGCTTTAAACACGACAGTCTTCAGTGTGGACCAGACAATCATGCAGCTGTTGCGGAGTTTGTTCGCTTGGGTCCCCGGTCGATGCTGTGGATGCAGCCCTCAGGATATCAGGCAAAGCTGCACAGGGTCTCTTTCGGTCGTCACTTGGAGGACTAAGGGGTGTCTTAAGCAAGTCGTGGCATTTTCGTTCTCCATGTAAGTATGTGAAAGTTGGACATTGAGTAAGGAAGACCGGAGAAGAACTGATGTGTTTGAATTATGGCGAAGACTATCAAAAGTACCATGGACTTACATGCCAGGAGAACCAACTCATCTATCTTGGAAAAAGTACAGCCAGAATGCTTCTGAGAGGAAAGGATGACAAGACTTCGTCTCATGTACTTTGGACATGTTATCAGGAGAGACCAGCCCCTAGAGAAGGACATCATGCTTGGTCGAGTAGAGGGGGGGCAGCAAGAAGGGGGAAGACCCTGGACAAGGTGGGTTGATACAGTGGCTGCAACAATAGGATTCATATACAGGAACACCTCAGGATAGTGCTGGGAGACCAGGCAGTATTTCCTTCTGTTGTACATGAGGTCATCGTGAGTCAGAATAGGCTCGATGGTACTTCACAATAACAGCTATTGTACCAGAACTAGGAAACGAATCTGTTACTTCACGACCAAACTGGCTGCTGCCGGTTGGTTCCCACTCCTGGGACTTGAGCTCTGTAAGGTTTTCACTTGCTGGTTTTTCGGAAGGAAGATCATCGGGCCTTTCTTCCATGGTGCACCTAGGTGGGTTCAGCCCCCAGTCTGGCAGCTGGTAGCCCAAGCATAAGCCTTTGAACCACCTGGGGGCTCCAGGCATCCCTGTGTGCTCTGATCCTGTGTGGCACTTCAGCTCAGGCAAGCGTGGCTTGGGACCCTCGGCATGCCCATGGGACTGGAATGCAGCCAGGCAGTGGCTTCTTTCCTCTTCGGGGCTGCAGACCATTCCATCACAGCGTGGGCGAGCTGGATGTTCTTTAAACGTTCACGCGCCTGTCAGTGGGGCCCTAGCCGGGTCAAGGCCTTCCTGTGCCCTGGTCAGGCCAAGTAACTTCAGGTCAGGAGTGGGGTTGGTAAGGACTGCTGGGTGTTGCTGGCCCTGTGTGTGGTCTGACCTGCCTACTGAACCCACCCCATCATCCCTGAACCTGGAAAGTGGCTTTCTTTGCCAGGTGTCGTACGCCCGCCCAAGCTCCGAGGTCATCAAAGACGCCAACCTGTACATCAGTGGGCTCCCGAGGACCATGACCCAGAAGGACGTGGAGGACATGTTCTCACGGTTCGGGCGAATCATCAACTCTCGAGTGCTCGTGGACCAGACCACAGGTGGGCGCGTCTCCCGATGGCCTCCTCGGGCAGCCAGCTGTGCAGGGAGCGCAGACGGGGCTGTTGGTGATGTCTTAGAGAAGGGGAGGCGTGAGCAGATGGCAGCTTTTGACTTCCGGGGCAAGGGCAGAGCGGGGTACACTGCTGCTGAAGGCCCTGCCGGGTACAGGGGTTGGGTGGGTGAAAAGGCTGCTGCCCACCTGGTGACCCAGAAGCCACACTCAGCCCTTGAAGTTCCACAGTGGACTGTTTCTCCCCCACCCACGACATCCCTTCCCTGGGCAGTAAGCGAGCCCCTTGGCCAGTCCCACCCATCTCTCCCCACCACTCTGGCCAGGCCCCTGGTCTCTGTCCCCAGCAGAACAGGATGTGTGCCACCTGGGAAGCTGCTGCCCTCAGTGGCTTTGTGTGTTCTCTTTGACAGTGCGCCTCCCCTGGCAAGGGCAGCCCTGCACTGCAGATACCACATGCTGCCTACAAGGCTGGGAAGGGGCAGCTTTGGGGCTCACCCTTGGAAAGGAGTACCACTGGATAGGCTATGGAGGGTGTCGAGGCTCCACTTGGCTTGAGTTGGGGTGTACTGCCATGGAAGGGACAAGGGGGACAGTTACCAGCCACCATTGCAGCCAGTGAGGAGGGTGCCCCAGGCTCAGGTGACTAGTATTTTCCGGGAGCCCTGGCTGCTGCCTGTGGCCTGCACGGACACCCTCTCTGAGCCGACGCTGTAGGGGCCACATATCCACACACTCACTCCACCTCCTGTGCTCTGCTCAGGGCATCAACCCCACTGGTCTGCACCGATGTTTCCTGTGATCTTAAAACCCACCTACTGACCTTCAGGCTGTCAGTGCCTGCATGTGTTCCCAGCCTCATCCTAAGAGAGGCCTTTGGAGCGGGCAGCCCCCAACATCCATCCTGGGCCACCTACCCAGTCATGCTGGTGCCGGGGTTTGGGGGAGTCCTACCACGTTGCTTCCTGGGGTCCCCACCAGCCAGAAAGGGGTGACATTTATGACCCCTTGCCATTTGGTGGAGACTTGGCCTCCTTTCTAACTGTGTCTCTCAGAGTACTGGGCCCTCAAAACCGCCCGGGGTGAAGCTGGGAAGGGCAGCCCCTCCCTGAGCCATGGCTCCAAAGCGGAGGGAAGTGGATCTAAGGGGTCTCTGCATGGGCGGGGGGCTGGGGGGGGGGGTGATCACTTTCCTCAGAAGCACAGCTCGGCTGCCGTGCCGCTTTGCTGCTCCATGCTACAGACAGGGGGAGCCCCTATGACACCTTCACACAGGACAGACAGCCCCTCCTGATGGACAGGACTGCAGTTTGTATAGGGCTCTTTGCTGCTCCAGCGTTGGTGCCTCTGCCATTTGAGCTGTATTCACCTGGACAACGTGTCTTTCCTGGTATCTGCTCTTTATTCTGGACATCCATAGGGAGAAAACAGTCGCGTCCACAATCAAATCAGCTAGTGCCCCACCCCAGCCAAAAGAAGGGTCTTTCTTTCTGGGGTGTTCTCCTGCTTTCTAGGGAGGGAGCTTCATTTGAAAACCGTTCTGGAGAAACCCCGCCCTCTCACTTGGCTTTATTTCCTGGTCTTTAGCGTGGTGGCTCTCTGGAAGGGTCGGCCAGCCTGCACCTATGAGTCAGACTTGCCTTCAGGTCAGTTGCACCTCCACGCTCAGCCAGCCAGCTTTTCCTCTTGGGTGTTTCTCATGAACTGGAGTTCTGGGTGGGTTCAGCTGCTCGGTCTTCCCAGCTCACATGGACACTTTGGAGTGTAACCTCCCCACAGCGCACCGTTTGGCATACGTTGAAACCATCTCGGCCCACACCTGCTAGGAGCTGCCCAGGCCCAACTGGGAGATATACTGGCCTGCTCCCGAGGGGTAGTCCCTGTGTGGAGGCTTGGTGGGGCTTTAGGACTCTTGGATGGGTGGGTTTCTGCTGTGGGTGCCTGTATAGCCTCTGGGAGTGGTTAGTGGCCTGAGTTGATTCTGAGGGCCCCCAGCCCTGCAGCAGAGGTGACTGCTGTGAACAGGGAGTTGGGGAGGTGGAAAGCCGAAGGGGAGCCTGGGCTAGGACAGGACAGATGGGTGCCAGGCCTGCTCCAGCTTCCGTGCCCTCAGCAGGCAGCACGTTGTGACCCATATGACGTGGTGGGTGTGATCCTTCCTGGTGGGGGCCACATTTCTTGAGGGGGTTGGACTTCCCATGGGAGCATCTGCAACAAAGCTGTTATCACAGGCAGTGGCATCCCCACAGGGGCTCAGGAGCAAGTTAAAGGCCTTCGTTTTTTATCCGTCACGATTTATTTTTAAATCCTTTCTTTGTTTTCATCTTTAGGTTCTGTTTTGATTTATTTCATTGACCAGGAAATCACTCTGGAGCGCAGTAGACTGATTTGACGTTTGTTTTTCAGTTTGAAACGTTTTGTTTTGTTTTGTTTTCCCCTAACTTTATTTTTATTGGTTTGTTGAAAAGGTTTGTCCAGAGGGGTTGCGTTTATCCGGTTTGACAAACGGTCGGAGGCAGAAGAGGCAATTACCAGTTTCAATGGTCATAAACCCCCAGGTTCCTCCGAGCCCATCACAGTGAAGTTTGCCGCCAATCCCAACCAGAACAAAAACGTGGCGCTGCTCTCCCAGCTGTACCACTCGCCCGCGAGACGCTTCGGAGGGCCCGTACACCACCAGGCGCAGAGATTCAGGTGGGTCAGAGGGGCAGCCCATCTCTCTCCCCACTGCGGGGGCCCAGCTCATGGGCCCTCCAGGAGTGCTGGGGGCGAGAGACTGGCTGCTCTCCCCGCCTGGTGCCTCTGCCCCACCCTGAAAGTGCCTGAGCGGAGCTGCAGGCCATGGCAGTGATGGGTGCTGGGCACCCCGGGAGAGAAGGGGGGTGTCTTTCTAGAACTTTTGGACACTTGGCCAGCGCCCCAGAGGCGAGCCGTTTCACAGATGCTGCTTGAGGGAGGTGTTTTCACATATCAGTGCCCTCTCAAGAGGTGGGCAGTGACGTTTACACAACGTTTTGTCTTTGCTTGTTGAAGCCAAGATCCAGTAGACCAGGGCAAGTAGTCTGTGACCTGGACTTCCGCCCTACAGGTGCTGCTGCGCCTCACCAGACAGCTCACCTCAGGTGGCGCCGGGTTCGGTTTTCATTTTTGGCCAGGAAAGGTGCCAGGGCTTAGCTCCATGACATGCCTGGCAAGCCTGTTCAAATTCCCTGCCTTTATTTGAAGCAGCAATGCCAGGCTGTCCTGAGTGTCTCCACAAATGCTGTCTGAAGAGACACCTTCACAGAGTTCTGCTCTTCGGAGATGCCCAGGCTGGTCCGTTATCCAGGGTTCGCTGGTTCCACAGTTCTGCTCACCTGGGCAGTGGGGATGCAGCTTCCCTGGGGAAGCTGGGGGTGGGGGGACTTTGGTCAGAGAATCAGAACTCAGAGAGGAGTCGGTCACGCACATGGTGATAGCAGTGAGCACTGGATGCAGGGGTGGTGGGTGGCTCGGGCTCGGGAGGCCTAGCCAGGCCGGCCCACTTTGAAGCCTGCTCTGCTCACATCTGGAAAGGCCTGTCATCCTTCCCAGGGCGGAATTCTGGGGTGGGGCTTCCTGGACGACAAGCTCGAGGAGATCTCCACTTTTCAGAAGGGCCAGCCGATAAGAATAACTGATAAGAAGGGGTGTGACTTGGTGAAAGCTTAGTAAGGTACAAACCTGGTTCTCTTCTGCTTCCTAGCTGCAAGAAAATGGATGGAGAGGTGGCCAGGTGTCGGCAGGCAGTTTCTTCCAAGGTGGCTGTGGCAAACTGGGCGTTGGGGGCCACGGCCACTCCCGACAAGTCAGCTCAGACCAAGTCCTTTTCCAGGGCAGCCTCTGAGCTGCTCTCTACCCACCAACCTGGCCACGTGCTTGTCCATGACCCAGACCGCCACCTTCTCCATGTTTGTTTACAACTAGTCTGAGGACCTGAAGCCTTGGCAGTAACTTAACAGCTAGACTTCTTGGGCTGGTAGGGGGTGGGGGTGTTGCCAGTAGTCCCGCTGCGCTGGGAAGCTTTTATTAGGGTGGGGGGGGGTGGCCCCAGTGCCAGCGTGGCCTCGGCCTGTTTCCCATCATGGTCTCACAGGAGAGCCATAGCATCAGGAGGGAGCTGAGCCTCCGGGACCTGGTGTCTGTCACCCTTTTTCCTGAGTCCTTGCAGTGTCTACACGGCGTTCTCCCTACAGTTGCCAGTGTACCTCCCCAGCTCTGCCCATGTCCCAGCACCCCTCAGCTGTGGGAAGGCCTCCTTCCAGCCCTGTGGTCCCATGGGGTGCTCTCACCAGCCACTGCTCGGCTGCCATGAGGGAAGGCACAGAACTTGGAAAAATAAATGGAACATACCCTGTCCCTCCCTCCCACTGCCCCCATGCCATGTAGAGTCGGGGGACAGGGTTTCCATTGGCCGGCACCTGGCCAGGGGGTTGGAGGGCAGCCATTGACACATGGGCCAGCCTTCTACCCCACCAAATGTGGAGGGAGCAGCTGCAGAGGCCACCCATTGAGACCTTGAATTGAGGTGGAGTTAGTTGGGGCTCCCCCTCCTTGGGCATCCAGTGTCCTCAAGGCCTGTGAGCAGCGGCCACCTTCCCTCCCCCACGAGCAGTGTAGCTGGGCCTCCCCCCTGACCATGACCTTCGTGTTGTGCTCTCTGTCTCAGGTTCTCCCCGATGGGCGTGGATCACATGAGCGGGCTCTCTGGCGTCAACGTCCCGGGCAACGCGTCTTCGGGCTGGTGCATCTTCATCTACAACCTCGGGCAGGATGCCGACGAGGGCATCCTCTGGCAGATGTTTGGGCCCTTCGGCGCCGTCACCAACGTGAAAGTGATCCGCGACTTCAACACCAACAAGTGCAAAGGGTTTGGCTTTGTGACCATGACAAACTATGAAGAAGCTGCGATGGCCATAGCCAGTCTGAACGGCTACCGCCTGGGGGACAAAATCTTACAGGTTTCCTTCAAAACCAACAAGTCCCACAAATAACTCGCTCATGCTTTTTGTACGGAATAGGTAATTAAGAGTGACCGAAGTTGAAACTTTTTGTTAGTGTACGACTCACTTTGCGCCAATTTTCACAAGTGTTTGTCTTAGTCTAAATGAGAAGTGACAGGTTTTTATACTCTGGGATGCAGCCGACAGGTTCAAATGTTTGAAATCCCACCATGTTAGGCCAATTTTAAGTTTCTTAAGTTATTTCCTTTACAACCTATATTAACCAGAAGTCCAAGTGGACCGCACTCATCACCAGTCCTGGAGGGCGGTCACCTGAAGCATGCTTTCACGTGTCACACCGGCGTCTAACGTGCCCTCTCATTTGTCTCCGCCAACTGGAGAAACAAACAGAAACAAAGAACCTTTGAGTTTGAGTTGTTAAACTAAAGATGTTAGACAGATGGCGAGTGTGCGTTTTCGCAACTGCCCCCCACCCCCTGCTCAGCGATTGATGCCCTCCCTGGTGGCCAGGACACTGCTTCGCAAACAGGCCCATTGCCACCACCGCTCCCCCGCCCGGCACACTGGTTTCTGAAGCCCTGCTGCCAGTGGGGACGGACCAAAGAGTTTCAGGGAAGCCCCGAGTAGTCCCAAGTCAGCCTGGAGCCACCCGTGTGCTCGCTGGGCCCAGGCCTGGGGCAGGGGGCTTCCCCTCCCTCCCCCCAGCCCTCAGGGGCCCAGTGAGCACGGCAGTGGTGGCGCCTGCTCTCCACCATAAACATTTGAGCATCGTGTCTCTCGCATCCCCTTCTCGTGAGCACTAGGCTTCCCTTCCTATTTTAGTCGGATTTTTGTTGTTTTTCATTTGGGAAATTTGCTTTCGTATGAACCCCTGCAGACAAGTACTTAACTTCTTGCCAGTTAGCTATTAACAAACGCCTTGACTGTAGTTTTTCCATGACTGCCTTGACACTTTGGGTTGCTCTGTTAATTTTTCTTTTGCTTTTTTGTGTTTTTTGTTTGTTTTTACTTTTGCATTTAAGACCATTAAATTTGATTTTGTTTTGCTCGAATTTTGTTTTGTTTTTTTTTATTTTACCTTTTCTTTCTGTTTTGGCTAGGGAAGGGGACCAGCTGTGAGTCAGGGCCGCAGACCCAAACCCGGGGTGAAGGTGCTGGTTGAGGGGGCAGGGCAGCAGGTCACAAACCCTGTGCCCTCGGTAGGGAGCGGCCAAGGCAGGGTCTGGGCTCCCGGCAGCTCTTTGGGATCGGGATCCGATTTTTATACATAACTGGCATGCCGAGAGAACCCTAAAAAACGCAGGGGTGGAGTGGGGTGGGGGGGATAACTTCGTACCAGCAGCTTTTAACTGTACTGCGAGACTGAACATGTGAAACGTGTTTGGGTTGTGGTCTTTGTTTTAGTTCTAGATAGACTGAAATGATGGAATTATTTATTTATGTATTTATATATTTATTTAATCTGCTTTGTTTATTTATTTATTTACTGGCAAGGGAAACCGGGCATCAGACTCCCTTCCCCAGAGCAGGTCTGGGTTCCCCGCAGCCCCTGGGTCATGTCAACATTGTCTGCTGCCTGGCGTCCTCTCGCCTCCTGGCCTTGATGCCTAACTGCGGGCCCCGTCTCTGACCTGAGACGGCCAGCCACTCTTCCCACCGAAGGCCAAGTGTGTTCCCAGGCATTGTTACCCACCGTGGTCGGCCAAGTGCCAAGGAGGGGAGGGGTGGACCTGGGAGGGGTATCCTCAGTAGAAGACAACTGTGGGTCACCGCTGGCCACCCAGAGCCACAGCAGGGAGCTGGGACTCAACTCCTGGCCGCTCCCTACCCGCCGCCACTCTCCTGGGCCTTGTGCTGGGGGGAGAGGCGCACACCTGAGGCTGTGACTTCTGTACATAGGTGACTTCCTCCTCCTGAAAGTCACCCCATATATTCCCATCAGCCTCTGATAGTGTCCTGTTTCTCAAGAGAATTCTGTCTTGAGTCTCAACTGTGAAAATGGTGATGGGTCACAGCCAGCCCCTCCCCTCCCCTCCCGGAACCATGCTGGTGACTGGTGCTGGTACAGACAGATGCCTGTCTTACCGAGAGCGGGGGAAGCCCCGTAGGGGTCAGTTCCTTGGCTGTTTGGACTGCACCTTTCACCCCCTCTGCTAGACAGTCGGCTGCTTCCTGTAGGAGGATGTTTGCCGGAGTGCAGGGGGGCGGGGGCTGCTGCTCTCCAGGGGCTGGGACACTCACTGTCTGGACCGTCTGTGCCGGCCCTGGGCCCTCCAGCCTCTAGACTCGCTTGCCAGGGGAAGGTCTCTTTTGTTACAATCACCATCCAGAAGAAACCAGAACGTCACCAAAGACCGTGGTGACTTAGATGAATCCTGCCCATATTTCACCAAGTTGAAGTGCTTGCTCTGTTTCTCTCGGGACTTTTGATTAAACAAGGGTTTGAGTGAGTAGTTTGCCAAGGGGCTGTGGTTCTCTTTTGGCCCATGAAACTCCCCCCAGGGGGCTCTGAAGCGTCATGAGAAAGCGCCCTCAGTATCTTTCCGTTGCATGCTGCCCCGAGCTTTCCAGCTTTCCCAGGCCCCTGGAGGCTGAGCTGCCTTCGGAAGGACACCCACCTTACTCACTTGGCTCTGCCTGCCTCGGGCGGGCTAGTCTGCTGAGCCACAGCTCCCTCTGCTGGCTGTGCCTTGAGACTCCCTGCCCAAGGGTCCCCTGCCACCCCCTTGCAAGAAGGTCCGAGAGAGGGAGGGTCCCCTGGGTTTTTGACGGGTGCTGCTGGGTGGTGTTTCTCCATCTTGGGGTCTGTAAGCTGGATCCACCCCACCCCACCTTCCCAGGCCTGAGCGGGTAAAGGCACACAGTGTCCAGGCTAGGACCTCGGCCACCAGCAGGTCGGTCACCTCTGGATGAGAGAAGTAGATGAAGCCAAAGACAGTTGTCAGCAAACCGTTATCTCGGTTCTCTCCAAACATGGGGCTCCCCCCAACTCCCCACATCTCCCTTAACACCCTCAGCTACTCCGGGTCACCTGGCTTTGCCACTCGTTATGCTTTTCAGACTTCCTGTGTGGAATTAAGGAGAGTCAGCTTCAAGGAGCCCTCCTCCCCGCACCCACCTCACACCCTGACCCCGCTGCCCCAGCATCCTCCAGGTCCCCAAGGGCAGCCTGAAGTCACAGTGCTTCCTGCCGAGAGCAGCATTTAGGACCTCGTGTATCTTAGCATTGGGTGAATCTGCGTGCCATCCAAGGCCCAGAACCAGAGCAGGGCACTCCCGCTGCACAGCTGTCCAACAAACCCGGCCGCCAGACCTCCGGGGTGGGGGTGGGGGCACCCTGTTCCGCCTTTTTGCTCACTTGGCCGTTGAAACAAGTGTGGTTTGTAAGTCGCAAGTCTGAGTGGTGATTGAGAGGACTTGTTTTCATTCCCGAAGGTTCTGCCGCCACGCGGTTCCGCTGGGTCGGGGCAGGGAGGTGCGCCCGATCCCCGCCATGTTGTACAGTCGAGATGGACGATGTGTGTACCAGCCTGTGTTACGTTATTGATTTGTTTTATACAAGATCGTTTTATTTTTCAGGTCCCCCTGCCCCCATTTTAACTTTGTTTCCCTGGGTTTGTTTTCAATAAAGCGTGGCACTGCTGTCTAAAAGCCAACAACAAAGCGAGGCCCTTGTGTTCTTTGGGGGACGTGTCTGTCACCAGCTCCCCTTCGCCCCCCCTCGGTGACCACGCTGTGATTTTCAGAAAGGCACTGATCAGGTCTCCACCACCCCGTTGCCTTTTGATGCTTGTGAATCAATGTTCGTTAGTGTTTTAAAAGGGGGAGGGGGGACCCAAAAAAGCAAACCTAGATTTTGATAATTCAGAAGATACCCGATTAATAAAGCAGACTTGAAAGAAGACCATTTTTCAAACTTTCAGTGACGTGTGAATTTTTTTGGTTTATTTTGGTCAATGGCTTTCTCAAAGACAAGGAACCTCTTGCACCATTTTCAGAGTTTTTATAGAGTTTGCTCTATTGACATGTAATGGAAATACGGAAAAACGAAAAACGAACAAGAGAAGTTTGATTACACAATTGTTCTTAGCTGTGTAGACGTCTTCATTCAGTTTCCAAGGCCCAGAGATCGGAGTTTGAAAGGCTGGACAGAGTGGGACTGGTCTGGGATATCCTGATTCCAAACAAGTGTCCCAGCCCTGAGCTCTGGTCCACAGTGCCAGGCGCTGCCCCATACCCTGCGCTCCCTCGACTGGGATTGTGGGTATTCTCTTCGTAAAGAGACTAGAACAAGGGGCTCTGTGCTCCCGGGCTGATGGTGGAAACCAGGGCGTCTGGTGCTCCTTCCCCAGGGATGCAGGACCAGCCTGGGCCGGGCCCTCCTCCCCCAGACTCCCAGGGGCCTCCTGAGCCTGCTCTGAGGCAGGAGTGGGGTCCCATACCATCTGCTCATCTGCTTTTACATCAGCTCCAGCCACCTGGTGGCCTTTCCCTGATGGCGGTTCCAGCACACACCTGGACAGACACCTGGGCCCTTCACCATACTGCTGCAGGTTGCCTGTTGACCTGGGCTCAAAATGGCCACCTCAGAGATCCTGGTGAGAATGGGCCCAGATGCTGAGGCAGCACGGAGGGGCGGGGGGGCTGTAAGCACCAGCCGAGGGGCCCGGCACCCTGGTTTTCCTCCCGCGAGCCCTGGATCAGTGTTCCTCTCTCTCCCAATGTCCCAGGGGGTAACCTCCCCTCCACCCAGGAAAGGGTCTCCAGGAAGTCCCCAGCTGGTCAGAAAGTGGAGCTGACCCCTCAAACCTCACTTTGAGAAGGGAGAGCAGTTCTAGGGAAGCCTTCCTCGCTTCCTTCCTTCCCTACCTGCTGCTGCCTCACCCCGGGGCTCAGAGATTGGGGGTCCCAGTTGCAGGTTGGCCCAGATGCCCACGACCGCAACCCCAGCAGGACACAGCAATGCCCAGTCCTGCACCATCCCCGTGAGTCAGGAAGCACTGGCTCAGTGGGATTTATCATTGACTGCTTCTCAGAAGTAGTCCGTCTTTGTCTGGAAGCTCTGCTGACACTTGTTTGGCATAATAGCAAATCTCAAGCCTGCACAGACAGATGGCTGGTGGGTTCACAGGAGGTGCCTGGGGAAGGAACCTAAGTGGAGTCATTGTCCCCTTGCTGAGTGGCAGGATGTTATTCCACAACACTCATGTCCTACAAGTGGCCTTGGAGCCGTCTCCATAGTGTCATTCCAGAGTCAGCCCAAGTGGTGTAGTGGGTACTGTGTTGGGCTGCTAACAGCAGGGTCAGAAGTTTGAAACCACCAGCCACTCCATGGGAAAGGATGACCCTTTCTACTGGAAACAGTGACCGTCTCAGAATCCCACAGGGGCAGTTCTCCCCTGTCCTATAGGATAAGGTGACCCGACGTCCCGCTTTTGGCGGGACAGTCCCGATATTTAACAATTTTTCCCGCGTCCTGCAGCGTTTTAAAAAAATCCCAATTTTTGGAAAGAATGCATGACAAGCTAGGGTAGACGGTTTTCGGCTGCCATGTGGCTGTTTCGCCAGGATATGCGTTTTATCAATGGTGTCCCGTTTTACCAATGTTAAAATCTGGTCACCTTACTGTAGGGTCACTGAGTCAGAACCCACTCCAGGACAGTGAGCGTGAGCTTAACTCTACAGGTGCAGAAAGCCTCGTCTTTCTCCCCTGCTCTCAGATCACCCAAAGCAACTCCTTTGTAGTCGACTGAGAACCCTAGATGACAAAGAACTAACTGCCCCAGGGGGTTTCCAAGGCTGCCACCTTTCTGGAGCAGACGGCCCCCTCGTTCTGTTGCAGAGTGACTGGTGGGTTTGAAGCACCAACCTTTGGGTCCTCAATCCAGAAATCCCTATGGGGGCAGTTCTACCGTTAGTCACATGAGGTCTTTATAAACCAAACCAACTCCACAGCCACACCAGCAGATTTCCGGTGGAGGAATATGCCCCCCAGAGAACCTGGCTGATGACTCTCCAGGCCCAGGGCAGAGCAGGACAGGTGGGGGGACACAGGAGCACAGAACTTGAGCAAGTTCCCAGAAGCCCCTTGCTAACTGGCATCCCTGGATGGTGCAAACAGTGGGTGGGCTCGGCAGCCAACCAAGATGGGGGGGGGCCTCAAATCCACCCTGAGGTGCCGCACAAGAAAGACCTGGCAGTCTGCTTCTGAAAAGCCAAACTCATGGCCATCGCGTGGTTCTGACCCAGCGCGCCCCTAAAGGACAGAAGGCTGTGATCCTGACAGAAGCGGACGCTCAGGCTGCCACATCTCATCCCGCCCAGTGCTGAAGGCTTCAAACAACTCACCTTCCTGTTTTCTGTCAGGCGATTAACATGCTGTTGCCACCGGGCTCCTTTGAAAAGTCAACCGCTAGGAACTCCGATGCACAGTTGTGCCCAGTCAGCCTGGCTCCGCGGCCCTTGGCTTGGTTTAAAGCTTGAGGGTCCATCTTCTTGGTTTGAGACCAGTGGAACGGTGGCCATCCAGTGCTGTGAGA